CGGGTCCAAACATTATAATGTACAAAAAACTTTCTAATATCGATGCCATTTGTGAGAATCCTATTATAAGCTAGTGTGGTAGGGGTAATATGAACTCAACTTGTATCTTTGATGATAAAATATGCAACAATTTTGGAATCTATGACATGACCTATATATCTTAAGAAAGAATATTGCTATAATATAATAATCTATGAATAAATTCATGTTTTCATCTCAATAATAGAAGTAACAAAAGATATATTAGCCTTAGATCAACTATATAAGGATATACTGTGACTAATATCTAGAATGGTCTTAGGTACAACTTCATGCTAGGCTCAACAAAAGGTAAATTAATGTTAATTATTTGAATGTTATCAAAATAGACAAGAGAATAGTAAGAGCCTAAAGATGCATGTTATGAGTCTCACCCGAATGTGCTTGGGGCAATTGCTTTGCCAAAAAGGGCATAACTAGAAAATCGTAGAGTCATCCTTCATTTTGATGGTAGTCTTCAACTTATCTTTTCTCATTCGAAAAGTTTATCGCTCCCCAATCATGTGGTTATCATCTAACCAAGAGTCTGGGAATTTATATTGAATAGTAATCTCATTAATATTGGTTGTCTATATACATACATGTGGGCATAGGGACATACATAAATTTTTATAGTTAAATAATGTCCTCGTATAAGGACACTCGAGGAAGAAGTTCATGGTTGAAAGGCTCCAAAGGTGATAGGACTAAGGTTCTAGAATGTCAGATGAATATGGATCATTAGATGACCTAGAATAACAACTATCATAAGCTGCCAAGGAGTGGAAAATTCAAAGCCAAGATTATGAGGAAGAGAGTGGATGTAGGAAAGTGAGGACTAACGCACTGAATGGGATGATAGCCCAAATTAAGATCCTATGATTCCATCATTTTAGGTTGTCATGACACTTAGTCTACTAAGTCATGGGTGACTTGAAAATCTTTGTTAGCCATCATGGGTTATCTCATCCAAGATGACCTCACAAATCGATGGTGTGGACCTAGTACTTGGTAGTTGGGACTTATGCTCCACTATCACATGAGAAAGAAGCCCAAAGTGGCTATATATATTAACATATTAATTTGTAAAAATTCTTGAAACATTCACCACACAAAATCTCTTGATCAAACAAAAAATGAGCGAAAGTGATGCAATCAAAGGGCAAGATACACAATTGAATGGAAATCATGACTGAGGAGAGACATGGGATCTAAAAGAAATCGGGACCACGATAAGACTAGTGCAATTAAATGGAGATCATGACCATGGCGAGGCGCGTGCGATTTAAAAAGATCATGACAATTGTGAGATGTATGTGAACAAACGAGATCAGGATCACAATGAGATAAACATGATTGAACAAAGGTCGTGATCACAAATAGACATGCATGATCAAATACAGAGCAACCACCAATCAACTCAGTTTGGGTCAATGAATTGATTTGGCCAAAATGGGGCAACCATGTACATCGAACATAGTGTAAGAGCTAGACTTAGCAAACGAGATGGGTTATGTGTGTTACTAGGATGTGATCCTGATTGAGAAGTCTAAATTCAAATTATCGAGTGTGTGTGGTATTGCTATGATTGAATTACAAAGACCCAGAGCTAACTAAGGTGTGTGTGCAAACGTCAAGCTCATATGTGACAACAATGATGTCAACATTACAATAGGTTCCATCTTTCTTAGGGTAAGAAGGGCTAGAATAACACAAAACAAATGCTCTCGAATGAAGCCCTTGTGCAATAAATAAATGACTCGTCATTTGACCTCATCATACTCTATAGGGCTCATTCTATAAAGTAGTAAGTTAAGGGAGCTGATCCAATAACAAAGTCAATGGTATATTGAATGCTACTAGAGTTGCAAGCTTATTAAGGTGTTCTTCATGATACAAATCTTGGAACTCAAAAACGAGTTGGCTAACCTCAAGTTTAAGGGTAAGTGACTAATTAAAAGTTTGTTTTGTAGATTTTAATACAATGAGAGCAAAATGATGCTATTTTCACTACTACGCTCAAACTCTCAAGGAATAAGAATATCAAGGTTATCTATTTTTTTGGGGTAGATGACTTCTTAAGTTTTCTGGATGAAACCAGTTTAGCTTTGCTAAGTTCAAAATAATTTTCTTGCCTTCAAACTTAAGGATATGGGAAATTGGATTATTTGAAATGAATAACATCTAAGTCGTATAAATAAGGTATGCTCAAAAGTATATGGCAACATTTATAAGTAGGACATTTTGTTAAATATGATTAGTGTAGTTAGGTAGCTCTATGGGGACAAGGTATCTTTGCATGGTAAATATGGTGGTTTTGTTCTAAGCAACCTTATAGGGTGAGGGATGTAGCTCAATAGTGAGCTTCATCTTAATGAAGGGAGAAGTGGATACAACATTCATGAAACTTTGGCTACAAATACTGCATGCGTTGTCTTCACTTTTGAACAACAACAACATCAAGCCTTAATCCCTATACATTGTGTTGGTTACATGAATCCTTTTTCTCCATTATGTTCTGTTAATAGTCAAATTATCATTTAAATCTAATAAAATGTCATTTTTAATAATTTCTAACCAAATCTTTTTAGGTTTACCTCTATATTTCTTGACATAGGCTAAATCTAGTACATCTACTCTCCTAATCGAGTCATCGGATGACCAACTTTTTATATGACCAAACCATTGATAGGAAATACTTGAGTTCGCAAGTAATTCTATCGGATCTACTTGAGTTTGCAAGCAAACCTAACAGTAATCGGTAAAAACAGCTAGAAAATGAAGAATTCATGGTGGAAGAACAATTAAACGATAGCAAATTTTATAGGAAACAAAGAGAAACAAGAACAAAGCAAAGATACAAGAGATCCTCAATTCGAGAGGAGGATCGTCTCTCCCAAATCTCTAGACAAGAGAGTCTAGAGCCCAAGTTGCCAAGAAACCCTAATTCCAATCAATCAAAACTTAATCCCCCCTAATCCTCTCATGCACTTTAATATAAAAGCTTTCCTATTCTAATTTCCCTCCCAAAGCCCTAGCCGCCCCCTCCTTTTCAATTCGAATTCAATCGGACGAGTGGGGCACACCTATTGGGTGGAAAATCTGAGTGGAGGCGGACTGTTTCTGCCTCCTGTAGAGTTGCTAAGCCGACCCTTGGGCCGGCTGAGCCGGTTCAGCCTGAATCAGCATATCATTACTGCTCTCCCAAAGAATCACCTTGTCCTTAAGGTGAAAACCAAGAAACTGATGTTTAACCCGCTCGTATGGCTCCCACGTGGCCTCGTAGTCAAGAAGATTCTTCCACTTGATTAACATTTTCTTAGTTCCATCTTCTTTCTTACGAATCCTTATCAGCTCTAAGGGTTCCCAAACCACCTCTAAATCCTCAGTAAGTATCACCGGTAGCTCGGGGTTGGCTGTATAGTCACCAATAGCCTTTCTCAGCTACGATACATGAAAAACTGGATGTATAGTCGTCATTGGTGGTAGTTTCAGCCGATATGCTACTTCTCTGATCTTCTCCAGCACTTCATAAGACCCAAAGTACCTTGGAGCAAGCTTGACATTCCTCCTGTTGGCGATTGTCTTCTGTCTATACGGTCGGAGCTTCAAGAGCACTCTCTCCTCCACTTCAAACTGATGTCCTTCCTATGCCCATCAGCTTGTTTTTTCATAATCTATTGAGCCATCAGCAGATGTCTCTTCAATTCTTCCAACACTCTATCCCTCTCCTCCAAGTACTCTATTAAAGAAACTAGAGTACTGCTACTCTCGAAGTGCACCAAGTGGGGATGCTCCCTTCCGTACAATATCTTGAATGTGGTCATCTGAGAAGCAGAATGAAAAGAGGCGTCGTACCAGTACTTCAACCCATGATAGCCACTTAGCCCATAGCTTGGGTATCTCCGGCACGAAGCATCTAAGGTAAGTCTCCAAGCTCATGTTGACTATTCGTTTGGCCATCCGTCTGTGGGTGGTAAGCTGTGCTTCTCTTCAGAATTGTCCCCTGTAACCTGAACAACTCTCTCCAAAAGTGGCTGAGGAATACCTTATCTCTATCTGATACTATCGCCTCTAGTACTCCATGTAATCTGACCATCTCTCTGATAAAAGCTGAAGCCACTGTCACTGCTGTGTAGGGGTGTCAGAGGGGAATGAAATGTGCATATTTGCTCAACCTATCCACCACCACTAGAATCACCATGAAACCTTCTTATCGGGGCAACTCATCTATGAAGTCCATGAATATCTCCTCCCATACTCGTCCTGGTAGAGCCAACAGCTATAGTAGTCCACTTGGTGACATAGTCAAGTATTTGTTCCTTTGACAGATCTCACATTTGGCTACCATCTCCTTGTTTCCAGTAGCGGGTAGGAAAAAATGTTCTTGGCCAAGCACTTTGCTCCTAGGCATCAAAATATAACCAATTAGATTTTTCCTACATTCACCCAATTGATAGTATTCGATTTGTGTAATGACAAACCATAATAAAATAGGAAGCAAGTTTAAATTAAATTTCATAACAATTGTGTACATGTGTGCTTTGGTGCCTGTGCTTATTAAACTCACTTTATCTAGTTTCACTGCTGATTGACCTAATTCTCATCCAAATGTCCTCATTAAATGCATGTTATTCTCAATTATTCTAACCAATCCTTGGTACGTCACTTCTCTACTTACCAAACTATATCTAGTTTGGAGAAATTTGAGTCAGAATGGGTTATAAAATCTTTGAATTTGCTTTGTGATGAGTGCAAGACATGAATAAGATTGATTATTTATTTCATATATCTCAAAATAAATCCAAGGAGTTTAAAACCTATCCTTACAAATCTTTGTCAGGATATCCTAAATCAAAATTTTTATCAAATTTCAGCATTTCTATTTCATCAAATGCTTGTATTTTTTCTGGTTTAGTTCATATCATTGTAATTTTTTTTACTCGAACCTTATTTAAATTAATGCAAATATATTTTTGCAGCTAAACGTACACTTTTGAAAATTACTGCAAAGGCTGCAGGAGATGGTTCAGATTCTTCCTCTCAGAACATTGTTAAATATGTGCAGAATGCTGTGAGTTGATGTTGAATTTGCTTGTTTTATGCTATAAACATGGCCTCCTTCTGCCTTTACTCGATGTAGATATTTTCGGAAAGATTTATTAAACCTAAAGTGATCAATGGTCACGTGTATAGTATATGCCAATTTTACATTCATTAATGTATGATTCTAGTCGTTTGAATTTAGTCACTAAAATACAAGTGATGTGCTAATTGTGCTCGACTAGTAAATGTTGATTAAACACACTAAATATGTGTTTTTGCATGTAAGTCTGAACTTTTTTAAAGTTAACTTCTTATTCATGATGGATTGTTCCATTAATCAAGTGTTGTTGTGCATTTCAATTTTCTCACTCTCAGATCCCCTCCGCACCAACTTCCTCTTCCACCTCCTACTCCCATATAGCGATTGTTGTGATCTCTCCATTATTCTCTCCCACCTCTCCTCATTTCATAGATATCCTCTTCCTCAAAATCAGCCCTCCTTATTTCTTCCTCCCCATTTCTCCTCATGCTATATCCCTCACCTATTTCCCTCCTGGTTTTCAGTTCAAGAGGTGACATATTTTCCCAATCGCCCAAGATTTCTACCTCTCGATCACCCCTTATTGTGCCAATATTGGGGTTTCCCCCACTTCCTTGGCCACCCGCCAGTCCCCTCGCCTCTGATGTTGCCGGTTGGGTGTGAAGCTCCAATATTTTATTCATCATGTCCTCTAGGTTAGAAAACCTTCCTTCCATGGATGAAATCATTTCCTCAACTTCTTATTTGAATTGACCAACTTCTCCTTTTAATTTCTCTTCCAAAGCATCCACTTTCTTCGGCGCCATAGGTCTTGAATCTTGCTTAGATACCAATTTGATAGGACTTGATGATCAAAACAGCACACAACAATATAAAAGAATAACAACTTACTCCAAATAGTTCAAGAAATAATACAAAGAGAGCTGTTTTTACTAATCTCCAAGCAAAGCAAGACAAGATACAAGTTGATTCACTGCTTGAGAGGTGAATCGTCTCTCCCACAATTCCTAGCAGTTGTTATGTTGACCTCTAGGTCTTCACCAACAGAACAAAAAAAAAGTAATCGAAATACCTGTAAGCCCACAAAAATTGCTTCAAGAATTCTAAACATAACATAAAAACCCTAACCCACCATAATCTCCTCCCTTAAACAGCTCAAATCCCCTCTAATAAATCCCCCTTACATCTAATAAATACCGCTTACATCTTTCCCAAATAGTCCCCTCCTTTCCCAAAGAGTTTCCTCCCAAAGCCTCTTCTCCTATAGGTGATAAAAGAGGTGTGTGGCCCCACATGGGCAGCTGAATTGATGCTGCCAACTGTATCATTTGTCTAACTCCTAAAAGTTATAAATGACCTAAAAATTCTTATTTTAAGCTAACAAGAAGCTGGACTCATATCTTACAGCAAAATGTATTTAAGAAACATAATAAATCTATCAAGATCCGTTTATGATTCAAGAACTCGCATGTTATTGTTCTTTACTGCGTTGCAATCTGCATATATTTTGAGGATATTATGGGATATGTTGATCATTTGTTTTATTTGATGCGGGTTTCTTTGAAAGCAGTGGGACAACTATGAAGATCGAATTGCTCTTGGTGGCTTAGGATTTGCCTCTATTGTTGCATTTTGGGCCTCATTAAACCTTATTTCGGTAATTTGCAATGCCATTTATGCAGCTTTGTTCTTGGCAAGCCTCATTTTAAAGCACCAAAGTAATGATTCCAGATATCAATTATTTACCATACCTATTTTACTAGTTTTCTGCTCCTTTCTTGTGGCAGATCATTGACAAATTACCTGTGATCCCCAGTGTTCTTGAATTCATTGGGATATTCTTTTCCTGGGTTAGAACTTTTTCTTAATCTTTTACATTAAGTTAATACTTTTCCAAATTTGTTTCTTATATGTCTGACAACTACTCCTGTCCTGTAGTGGTTTATCTACCGATATCTCCTATTCAAACCAGACAGGTAAATATCTTGTATTGAGCTACTTCAAATTCTTTCTTCCAGTATTTTCGGATGAAAATCACTTGCTCATTCTAGTTAATATATGTTTTTATAGTTTGTTCTTAATAATGTTAGTTCACAATGTAGACTAGATTGTATGTATAATGAATCATTTAGGAGCAAAATTAATGAAATATATTCAATTTTGAATATTTTTCTTGTGCTAGGACATTCATCATAATTGACATGACACATCCTCCTTGAACTTCTGTGAGTTTAGGCAGATTACAACATTCCCTAGAAACCCGATCCCACTATGATGGGTTAGCCTGGCCCGTACGGCCTTGTACTGGTCTCTCTACTCCTTGATTGACTTAGATAAGTTCCTATTGGGCTAGAACATACTCCATGGGGCCAATTGGCCTAAATGGGCCTTCTCAAGACCCCCACAGTACTAATAGATTAAGTCTAAACTTGGTGGATCCACTATTCTAACCCAATGTGACCTAGTTATCCTAGTGCATTCTTAGTTAACTCAACTAATCTTGCCCTCAATTGACAAAGCTTGTCTTAATTCGCTTATTAGCCCCAATTAGTTCAATCTAACCCTTATTAACCTAAAGTTGGTTTTGGGTGACTTGCTCAGCTATATTTTGTGCAATAAATTAATTTTAGTTAGCTTGTTTGGTCCCACCTTAGCATTATGCTTGTGCAAGTTGAATAGGTTGACTTAGTTAACCTTTTAACTAGTTCTGATCAACTGTTTTAGTCATAATTAATCATGGCCTAAACTTAATTGACTCAATCTAAATCAAACTGATTTTTTATTTTTTTTTTATAATCTAAATCGAACTGATTTGAGTGTGCTCTCAATTAACCTAGATAGGTCCCTCGATCAAATCTAGCTCAAGCCTAATTAACTTGGTTGAGCCAACTAAGTCTTTGTGTTGACCAAGTGAGCTCGACTAGTTTTAATCAAATTAATTGGCTCCTTAATTCGCCCAAAGTTTGACTTAACTTATGTAAGCTTATATTTTTGTCAATTGAATTAAAATAAAACTCATTTAATCGCTAATTGTGCCCCCATAAGTTTTTCTTGACCTAGCCCAATCAGCTGAAAGCAAACTCATTTTAGATCTACACTTCATCAATTGATAAGCCTTGCAGCCTCATCAAAGCTTGAGCATGCCTAATTTTTTATTTGGGTTAAGTTTATATCGAACTCAAATTTTCCAAAATTGGTTCCTAGTTCGACCCAATTGGCTTATTGGGGCTCTGAGCCTAAATCCATTTGGCTTATTTGGCCAGATTGCTGAGCCATATCAACTCTACTATTGGACCTTGATGGAGTAATTTTTTCTCAAGTTGTGAGCTCAATTTGCTCTTAGCTCAACCAAGTGGCTAACCGAAGCTTTAATTTGAGTCTACTCAACCATATAATGGTATTTATCTTAACCAAATCGAGCCTTATGCTTCGAATTGAGTTTGGTTGAATGACTCCATTGTATCTTTACTGAGTAGAAATCTCCCCAATTGAATTTTATGCCTAGCCTAACCTTAAACAAGTGGGTTTAAACCTTTCCGAGATTGAGTTTCATTGGATGAATCCATTGTTTTCTTTTGAGTCTAAAGTCTAAACCTCCCACAATTGAGTTTTTGCTTGACAACCTATCTCTTAAAAATTCTATTGTTTGAAATTGTGCAATATGAGGCTTTCCTTAAGGCCTGTCTCAATGCAATTCCAATGAAAAACACCTTAAAGCTTATGCCTCGAGCTTTTTTTCAAGAGGCTGTGTCTCTGCTTGGCTGAGGCTCGCCTTGAGGCGCGTCTCGCCTTGCTGGAGTGAGGCGTACGCCTCATCCTATTTATATATATATTTTATTAAAACTTACCTAAATCCTAAACTAAAGCTCTAAAAATTCATGTCTTCATACATCCCAAGCCACAACTTCCTCTCAAATACCTCGACCTCCAGCCCATCGTTGTAGTCGCCGCCGGGGCTCACTTGATAGCCGTACGCCACCACCATTTTCTCTAAAAGTTTTGGTGTATTACTCTCATCTTTATGCTGATAACAAATATTTATGAAAGAGAAAAATGACTAAAATAAATGAAGAATAAGCAATTTGGGAGGCATTAGACTCTACATGATGACGTAGGGGAGAGATTAATTTGTTATGACCACAACTCAATTAAAGACCCCTTTCATGATGATAATATAGATGATTTGTTAGTTTTGGCTAAATATTTCAGTTTTTTTGGGAATTAAATTTGGATGAGTAGGGAACTCGGAAAGAACGAATTTGTGGTTGAAATTGATGTTATATAGTACTTTTGATGTAATCCCAAAGCCTGAGCTTGTGTTTTGATGATTACGAACATTATTGGATGATTATTTAGTTTCTCGTGCTCTTTATATTACATACATTTTTCTGTGTGTACTAACTTTTTAGGTTCAACATACAACGAGTATCATCATAGAATCAGAGCTCCAAATTGTATTGTATATGTTTGATTTATCTGAAAGAGTGTAATTTTATCTTTGTTGAGTCAATTAATGAAAAAAAGTTATATATTAGCTTGACAACCATGCTTATATGTTAGCTTAACAACCATGCACACATACAGGGGGAGTGAAACTAAATGTTTTAATTTTTTTAAATATCGTACTGGACGATCTGGATTGTATTGTGCGATTTATGTAATCAGAATTAATTAAAATATTTAATTAAATGAAATAAATTTGAAATTAAAAATATGAATAATCGTACTGTACAAATAATATCGTACAATATGATCAGTTAATATCAAGAATCCCTGCCCCCATTTAAAATTAGGCAATATTTTGAATTTTGAAAATTGGCCTATTCGTACTGTATGATTTTTCTCTTTGTACGTGTTGAGAAATTCTTTGAAGGAGGAAGGAGCTTTTTTGGGTCTTCTTGGATGAAAGAGAGAGGGAGGGAGGAGAGAGAGAGAGAGAGAGAGAGAGAGAGAGGGAAGGGAGAGTTCTTTATTGATTTAATTCCATCAATGGGGTCCTATTATACATCATATACATCTATATATAAGAATTTACTCTGATGTGGTGTCTTGCAGAACATCATAATTAAAATTGGACCTAAATCAAAAGTCCCTCACGCTTGATTTTGGCTTGATTCGCACGCCCCACTTGGGCACTCATGCGACCCCGCGATCGCGTGTAACTCTTCATATTCTTGCCTCCGGTCCGACCCAGCTCGATTATGTGCTCCGCACTCCCATGACCCCACAACGTCCGAATCGATCCTTGTGATAAAAGAAGCACTTTATATTGCCTTTAGACTTGGATCTAGCATGGTTCTTAGCTTTGGACTCCCTCTTCTTGGGTCTATTTCTCACGACAAGGGAATCAATCGCCCCTTCATGCTTTCACCTCAACCCCTTTTTGAATCTACTTCGAGTTGAGTGTAACCTTGACTTCTGCCATAGCAAGTCTCCTTCGAATATATCAAGGTGTTCACAAAATGCTCAAACCTAAAAGATAATGAGTTTAATAGAATGATTGCTTGATCTTCATCTTCAATCTTCACTCCTATGTTTTTCAATTCCAAAATAATCCGGTTGAATTCATCCAAGTGCTTCTTCAAGAGCTTGGGATCATCCATCAAACCAGCAGTCGAAATATCCGAATTCAAATTCTAAACAACTTGCGCATAAGTCGAAACAACCTTATTATCCATGACATGTTCAAGAACTGGTTTTGAGAATCTATTAACAAATAATTTCGCACCAGATGATGAAGAAGCTTCGTAATCTTTAAATTGCAGCTTAGAATCGTCTGAATTACACTTCTTTGAAGGCATGATATTAGCCACATCACAAACCTCTTTTCCCTTAACCGAGTAAGAAGCATTAATTCGATCCACAGAAGAAAAAATAGCTTCAGGAACATCCTTGATGATCAACGGAGCACATCTTGACAAACTTCAAATAGGAGACTGTTGACCTGTAATTTGATAAAAAAATGCCAAAATCCCGTACATGTCCGAATCGCACGTCGTCGCCATCTCGTGCACGTTTGACATCGCGTTTGGTCTCTTCTTCGCACTTCTTCGCTCGTGGTTAATGCCGAAGAGGTGAAGGCCACTGGGTAGAGCTCTTCCATTCGGTCCCCTCTCCTACTCTTGTGTGGCTGCTCGACTCAGCACCTTCGATGACTTCCAATTCCTGGAAGATAGGAAGTTACGCCATTTCGATCGGAAGCAAGAACTGAGGCTCGCCGGAAGTGAAGTTTGTTCGATCATGCTCCCTCGATGACTTTCTCCTGCCGAACCGGAAGTCACGACATTGCGATCGGAAGCCAAAACGGGAGCTTGCTTACTCTGAAGTGAACTTTCTCCCTCCTGAATCCCTCTCCGGCTCC